CCTTTAATAAGTTCCTTTTTTGCTTGAAAAGTAATTGATATTGTCACTCCCTCTGCAGCCAGAGGGCTCTCCTATTCTGTCATGTCCCTAGTTTCCGTCTGGGGCTATATATTTCCGGGTCACTCATTCCTCTACGCTCAGCATTGACATTTGGATGTCCTGAGGCCCGTCTAGCACCAGGTTGCCCCACATCCGCTGCCTGAGGGCATAGGTTTCTATATGACTCCTGGACTGCTGAGCCTGGGCTAGCCCCTGTCCCGCCGCTACGCATAGGGTCTTTTTCTGCTCTCCTGCCATTCCACGGTTCATCCCTTCCGACATCCGTGACAGATATTTGAAAAGTATGTGCCTCCCTGACTAAATATGATGGTCTGCGATAAAAGATCCATGAAATATACAAGCCACACATCTGCCGTGACAATTGATTATATTGTTTGACTAAATTATTGCAATCTTCTTCCTTCTGCAGCTCAACAAGTTTTTCAGTGAAGACTTCTAACTTCTAAAATTGAAAAAAATACACAATATAGCAGGCTCTTGAAATGTTATGCAAGAGGCCACCATTAACTCATTCCCCTGTTTGGTGATGTTTCAGTGATTTACCCTTTATTCTTTGATGTTTTTGATTTATCTTTAGTGTATCGTTTGCATAACAATTTGTTCTCCTTTCTCATCTCTGTGTTCTTTGGAGATAAAGGGTAAGAGATTGAAGTAAGACACTGGGGAACAAGGGAGGAAAGATGGCTCTTCCAAAGACAAATGCTAATGACAATCCTTAGCAGAAAGAATTAAAAGGCTGGAATGACAAAATCACCCCCGCATACTTCATATGTGAACAAGACTTTATCTCAGATTTCTCTGCATAAATAGGTCTTCATTTAAGAAGGTTCAGTTAGATTCAGGAGATAGTTTGGAATCCCATGCCTTTCTCTCTTTTTTCTTTTTCTCCAAAGAATTAGATAGATAGATCCCGAAGGGAAATTGATGTGTTACAGCAGTCCAGCCCAAGACAAGCAAAAACAGACATCAGAATAGATGAAAAAATATACAAAATAAATACAGTGGTGTGAAACAGGGGGGGGGGGGCAATCACTTTTTCACACAGGGCCATGTAGGTTTGGATTTTTTTCCCCTTTATTTTTTTATGTAATATTTCATGTTTTCCAATTTGATAGACAAGACAAAGGAGAAAACTGAGGTTGTAGCCAAGCCTAACAGAACATTTGGCTGTGCACAATGAAATGCAGTTTTTCAGAAGAAAAACAGAATTATCATCTCAGACAATAATAAGTTACAAGAGATAAAGACTTTTTCAAACATTCCACTATAAAGTTACTGAGGAAATACCAAAACATATTTTGTTTTAAGACACAAAAATGTGAACAGAAATATCTGGAAAATCTTGGACATTCTTTGAATCCTAACGACTGGCATTGCTGTCATAAACAAAAGTCCAATAAAATATTGGACACTTTATATAATATCACTTAAGAGTTCTCATAAAAAGTGATTCTAAACAGTATACATTTATACAGTACAAATATTAGTAAACATCATGTGCTCACAATATTATGCTCTTTTCTCAACTGTCACATTATAATGACTCTGTGAAATGCACCTTTTGAGAAAACCAATTTCCCATACAGAGATGCCTTCGATGCTTCACTGCTTCGTTTTGCATGATTTTTAAATGGACGTTCTTAACTGAAGCTCATAAGGAATGATGACAACCAAGCATCTTTCATACGTGCTGATCTAAATCATAATCATTCCTGACATAATTTCTCTGATTTATACTGTATGTAACAAGAGCAAATCTCTCTCTTTTCACATTTCATTTGATGCATTCCTCCTCCTCCCCATCTGCACCTGTGTAGATCTCCATTGGTTAACTTCTTGTTCTGCATGGAGGTCCCAACCTCCTTATCCTTTGGCCAGGGGACCCAGCTAAATGGGTTAAGATAAATCTCATTATGCCTTAATACTTTAAACATTCTTAAACACATCTAATCCTAGGGTGTTATATATCCTAAAATTGTATTTTGCATTACTTCAAGTCTATTGGAGGATGTCTGTGGGAACTTTCCAGTTTCACAAAGGAGCTCAACTTGATTGCAGATTACAGCCTCTAGCAGTGAAAGGATATGACATAAGTCCACCAGAGCAGCCAGCTCCAGACACAACTGCATAAAAATAGCACACAAAGTGTAAGATTGTTCTCAGGTCCAAAGCATATTGATTCATGCAGCAGATTTGACAAGCCTCCTGCACAAATAACAACCTCTGTGCAGAATGTCTTAATAACTGTTGAGAGTTAAAAGGTATATTGGGTTTGTTTTACTAAAGGAGCTTTTGTAAAAGTTTTATTTTACAAAAAATAAATAAACTTGCTGTGGTGTATAAGAGCATTGTTAAAACTTGCAGTTTCTACTTCTCATTACTGCTGACCACTCCTCGTTTTGCATTGGCGTGACAGATGTGCCAACTCGGATTATGTAGATATTGAAATAAAATATTTCAATTAGATAATAAGTATTGCAGTATTGCAGTTACTTCTTTGTAAGTTAACATGGTGGCATGAAACCCATTTTTTATACATTGTAATTGTTAGGTAATCTACATGCTTTATATTTATGTCTGTTTGTTTTCTCACTGCTTACTTCCTGCTTTGTTTGTTGACAGTGCCCCATGTTTTCTTTAGAAACCTTGGAGGCCACCAACACATGAAAGCTGAAGGAAATGTAATTACAAATAACTACCAAGCTGTCATATTGATTTGCTTGCAAAATGCAAGAAATCTGTCTGGCAAGGTGTATGCAAAGGTTAATAAAGAAGCAAGCAGATGCACTGAAATCACTAACATTTTCATTATGAAGTGTTAGTCCGCAATTACTTACCATTGAGTGCTTATATTCAGCTTGGGAGCTAATAATTGAAATCACTGAAGCCTGTTTCCTTATTAGTTATGGTCTAATTTATAGACAGACAGTTTAATTATATTTAATTAAGATTTCACAGGAGGTAGACCATGTAGAAATATTCAGAAAAACATCAAAACATTAACAGCTAAGAAAAAGACAAAAAGGGTTTTTTCAATCCTTTTGTACACTTAATTACTTTTTTAATGAATAGAAAACAACAATACAACAGAAAAACAACTTCAAATAGTTGTTCTTTGCACAATGTCGGCTTTTATTGCAGATGATCATATATAATACATTCCACATTTCATGCAAGTTTACTGTTTATAAAAGAAGAAGATAGGCCCACTAGCCTTCAGTCTCCATCGTCTTCAGCTTATAATAGATATAGTTTGTAAGTACCATAAGTGAGTCATCTTGATTTTTCATTTTGGCCCCATAGTTGCACACGGGTATGAGAAGAGATACGTTTTCTTCTTTTATCTTTGACACTTTTTACATGCAAAGTGTAATACATGGCAACTGTATTATCAGTTGATTGCATCTGAAACAGAATGACCATTTGATTGGATATTTTTTATTTTGCACCTTTATGCCCATAGTATTTTTCACTGAGGCTTTGAATTTTGTACCAATTTATTTGAAAATTTCTACATAAGGGCTTCATAATGCCTTCATGACTTCTACACAAGACATTACAATCACACACAAAATGCCTCATAGGGACATGCGCAAATGACAATGTGCATAAGAGGTCATGACATTTGTTTTAGCATTGTAAAAAGCACTATATAAAATTTTAAAACAATTGTCATGACTTCTTATAAGAATTCTTATAAGAAACTTTCTACCAAAATGTAGAAAGTTTTGAGCTTGATGTTATGGTGCACTAAGCTTTCTGTGCACCATAACATCATTAGTCCAATGGATTGTTTTACTTGGCACAGATATTCGTCCAAATATTCGTCTCCTAGTATTTTTTTATTACTCATGTACTGTATTGTGCCACATCTATTCTCTGCAGTGGGCATTCAGAAAGCCTCTGACCCAGTTTCAGCATTAGCTAACCTCTGTATTCCATTCTTGGAATACAGAACTACCTCTTCACCGCCACTCTATTTCACTTCATCTGCCAAGTTAAGGAAATGCTGTTAGATAGAACTGAGAAACAACTTAGTTTTGTAATAGTTTTGAATATTTACAGTATGTGTCTTGGTTGTGTGCTAGAATGGTAAAGAGTTATTGATTCCGTATCTGTTTATTTTAAAACATTTGTGCTGGAGATTTTTGTTTACTACACTAAAGTCCTGTTTTTCTGGTGTATTCTGTGTATGAGCAATGGGTTGAATTGGTTTATTTGAAGTCTGGTATGAACAAGAACTACAATCTAAAACTTTTAAATATATTTTTAGCTTGGTTCTAAATACATTTAGAACTTGGTTCATGTATATTTTATCTCTGTGGATGAAGCTTCTGGTATTACCATAGTGTTTCTCTTGTTGAAACTAACACCATTAATTATCAAATGAGCATGGAATGAAGCAGGTTCGCCTATGAAATAATGCACCAGTTTATGTTTCTCTGTCATAATTTAATGACTGAAAATGTGTGCAGATGCACAGTATGAAATGAATTTCTCATGATTCAAGTTGTTTCTGTACTTGATTGCATGACACTGGATCTGGCTTTCCTGTGAACTATTTGAGAAGACCTTTATTATTTCTGCTCCCGAAAATGGGATGTTATAATTATTTTTAGAAATCTCATCATCACATTTTTTCTCTGGAGAGGATTTAATCACATGTCATACAAGTGGTGCTGTATTTTCTGAATAAAAAGGGCTTTTTCATCACACTGAGAAGATAAAGAATTTGATCCAGGCATTATACTCCTCCTTTAATGTGGGGTGAATTCAGAATAATAAAAAGAAAGATCAAAATGTAATAACCTGTGCAACAGTATTAATTCTCCAGTGTTATGTTACTTTTCACAATGACTCTTGTGTTTCTGCCCAGCAACAACTCTAGCACTAGGGCCATGTGGTATAACTAAAAACTTCTGTGTGGGTTTTTTTCACAGCCTGTTGCAAGCAATCAGAGAAGCAAATAGAACCCCACAGCCAAGAAGAGCAGGCACTCCTACGAAGAGGGCTCAGAGCAATGCTTGAACAACGAACAGAACTTCAAGGCAGCAAGGAAGCAAAGGGATTTTCTCTTAAAACCAAAGCTTCAACCAGCTCCCTTCTTCAAAACATATTTTTTGCGGCACAGAAATGCCTAGAAGGGGTACTTTGGATCCAGGAGTGAGCTACGCAAAAGAATTCTAGAACTACAAATGGACAGGAACTGTAATTAATATTTTTCATTGAATTCACTCAAACGCTTGTCTTTTATAAATATAAGGTTTTTTTTCTTACTTATTCGAGGTGTTTGTGCAAAGCATAGAATATGATCAGTGCTGTCCCATTTTGGGTTCTGAGAACCCTGCTTGGTCTAAGCTGGATGTTAGGGGTCCAGGGTCAGGAGGACAACAATCCCTGGAGACAGGTGATTCAGTGGGAGAATAACGGACGAGTGTTCAGCCTCCTAAACAGTGGCTCAGAATACCTCCCAGCTGGCCAGGAACAGGACAGGAACCCCACAGTCCTATTGGCAGACTCAGCACGCAGTTCACGGAGGACACAGGGTAATTTGCGCAGACAAGCACCTTCCAGGGGCGCATCTGAAACTGTCCGAGGGCAAACCAGGCATCCTTTTGGTTTTGGGCAAGTGCCTGAGAATTGGCGACAGGCAGCAGCTGGGGCTGATAGCAGCAGTTCCACTCGATTCCATTCTTCTAGTAGTAGGTTCAGGCAAACTGGATCTTCATCATCATCATCATCTTCTTCTTCTTACAACATACCATCTTACCCTCAGTTTCCTTTTGCACAACAGCCATCTTACCCTGTACCTTATGACCCAAACCCTGTGAACATTCCTGTCCCTGGTCGAGGCTATGACTCCTCATATTACAGAGAAAATGGATACACCAATGGTGGCACAGGTGGTTTTACAGGTGGAGGATTACATCCTTTTCCACCACGTCCACGCTATGAAGATTATGGTGAGGAAACACGTTTCCAATCTCAAGGAAATTACCCATCTCAAGGGAGGCCCTATGTGCCCAACTCTGCCTCTCCACAACAGCCCCAGCAGTCAATCTCTGATGGTTTGGACCGTCGCTATACACACAGCCTTTACAACGAAGATACTGCAGCCCAAGAAACAGGCCAGGGTACAAGCAACTCTTCTCCTTCTCAAGAAAGAACCAATCCAGCTGCTAACTCTCCTGTCCACAGTCCACAGTATGAACAATTCCCACCTTTCCGGAGTGTGAATCCACAGCCGCCTCTCGTCCATCCCATTCCTCCTGTAAGAAGCCCAAATTCTCCAAACACAGGACTGGAAAACCCTCAGATCCCCAATTTGAGTCTGGGGAGTGTTTACCGACCAGAGCAAAGAGGTAAGAGCACAGAGAAAATGTCACCTTAAAACAAACTTACCAAAAACAAAGATGTACACATGGGACAACTAAAGGTTTTTTTTTTGTAATATAAAACAAAGTTTCATTTGGAAATTGTGGACAATAGACATATTGCAAGCACAATTATTCATTTTCTATGGTCATTTGTGTGACTCGGTCTAGACAGCAGCAAGCAGTAAGGGACCATTGTTTGATCTCATTGTCTCTTTTTCAGATATATTAACACACATGTGCTGTAAATGTGGCTGATTTAATTCATGTTGTAAATGGAAGCAGTGTAAAGTGAATGCATGTGTCTTGTCACATCTAACCTCATGTTAGCCAAAGGAAGAAAAAGGGGCGGAAAAAATATTTATGTTACTGCAGTCAGACTCAATTTCCTGGAAAGGGAAGCTTCTTTACAATGAAAAATGATTTTTTTACTGCAATAGCCATTGTTTTAAATAGTTTCATACTCATTTTATTATACATGTGAGTCTCACAATAAATAACATTTCAACCAAAGCCTTGACTGCTACAATAAGTTTGTAAATGAATATCACCATGTTCATTTGAGGAGAAAAATAAGTTAATGTATTCATATGGTTGCATTTTTTATTAAAGGAACAACTGATTCATGTTTCTTTAATATATAAATTCCAAACTGAGAAGAAAAAAAATATTTTGGCTGATGCAAGCTCTCTTCTCCTTAAATTTACCCCCATTTAATAATTAAAAAGTTACTAAAAAGTGTAATAATTTGCTTTGATTTAACATTTTATACTGATTTATATAAAATCCCTTCTGAGGTTTGTCTCACAAGCTTTTCTTTAAATTACACATCTATGTTAGAATTATTGTTACCAGTGGAAGTATCTTTGTAACTTTAGGCATTTTGCAGCTGTGGGGAAATGCAGTAGAAAATAACAGTAGAAACAGTACACCTGTGTACAATACAGTACAACACAAGGTCAGGCAGTGCCTGAAAGGAAGTACAGTATGTCACAAAAATCAGTTAAATATAGTTGGCAATCTGCTATGGATAGCTCTTCACTAATAACTCTTTGTTAAAGCATTGTTTTAAGTACTTAACTGAAATGAACATGCAAATTTAGAATTTACCAACTAAGTGAAATAGAAGAAGAAATAGAAGAAGAAATCCCATGAATGACATTTAAATCACTATCAATGCATGCACTGACATAATACATTTATTGGCTCATGGAATGGATGCTTTTGATGGTAACTGTTAGGTTATTTTAGCTCATAGTATACCACAGCATCTCTGGGATACAATGAGCTACCCATGTACCCACCACCATTTCTTAATAGATAGGATAGTTGCATTTCTTTTTTTTTGAAGTAACAAAAGTAAAACAATCAACAGTTTAAAGAACCAGAATCGTGATTATGCAAAAAAATTAAATCAGGTATTGTATATGTTTTCCTTACACAGTTTATTAGTCCTAACAATTTCAATTTGCTATATATTGTGACCACATTTTTGTATATGAAACCTGGGTGGATTTCAATGAGTAGGGATGTTGTAGTGGATAGTCTCTGTGACTTGAATGACTCAAGTTGAATAACTTTTTGAATAAAATCAATATATTTTAACTTGAGAACAAATGCAATCCATGAGAAAATGTAGGTTTAGAATTCATGTCACAAATAGAAACTTTCAATTTAATGTGAACAAACATTTTTTTTAAATCCCTGTATAATTGATAAACTGTGTAATATTCATGTTTCCTGTAGAAACACCAAATATTTTAGGATCCAGTAACATTACATAGAAAAGCCTACTTTATGTACAATGCAAATGCAGGCCCCCACAAAGTGTCGGAACTTCTGTCATTTTACAGTTTCCACCACAACTGTAATTATGTAGCCTCAGGTCAATGATTTTTGCCATAAGTTAAATCTGCCTTATCTTGCACCTATATCTTTATGTTATTTTCAACAACAAATAATACAATTAATTACAATAATAAAAATTATTTTTTTCCCTTTTAGTTGTGTGCACTTACCAATATGTATGTTCTTAATAAAAAGCAAAATAGAATTATGACATGTTAAAAATCAAATAAATCAGAAAATGGGAAGTTGAAAGCAAAAGAGCAACCTCTGTATGTGATAAATAGCTCTTTGTTCTGTTTGTGTTACCCAACCACTTAAAACGGAAATCTGTAGTTCCTCCAGATTAAGAGGGCAGAAAACAAAGTTTCACCAGGATGGGAAAAACAAGTTGCCAAGAAAACCACAGCATTTCCTACAGTCATGTCGAATGCTTACATGAAATGCTGCTTGGCCCACCACTCCTGAAAGAAGGTGACAGAAAAGATAATGACTTAGTCAAGAGATCCTGAAAAGTTCAGCTTATTTTCCAGGAAGAGAAATGGACAATGTATAAGACGTGCTGTCCTTCTGAACCAAGATGACGCCATAGAATTATTTCATTATACTTGAACATAAACACAGCTTTGCCCTCTGTGCTTAACAAGCAGTAGTTTAATTCCTAGAAAGTGTACTTTCTATGTAGAGTAGATTACAGATTTTAAAGTGTCTAATACTTTTTACAATTTCTATTTGTATTGCACAATTTAGAAAAAAGTAATGGAATTAAGACATGAAATTCTCTTATTCCTCTGCATCCAGTGGGTTTTCATGCTAAAGAACCTTAAAACATGGTACCAGGGATGTGCCATTTACAGACATCATACACCATAAGGAAAGACAACCCCTTCCGTCCCTCACAACAAAATACTAAGAAAAGTCTTCATAACTTGTTCCATTGTCAGTGCTTATGGTGAGTCATATGATCAAAGTGAGGCTGTTCTGCTATGTTGAAAGACTAGAGGTGGTGATCTTAGCTGTAGATACACAAGGATTGCACTAGCTAGAAAGGCAGACTTTGTTGTGGTTAAATTCCCCTATATGTTTTTGGTACAATGTGAGGTCCATTCCTTTTTTAGCTCCTGATAAATTTTCTCAAGCAGTCTGGGATAAGTTAAATGAAAAAAAAAAGTTGTTTTAAAGCAGTTAAGAAATTTAAATTGGAAAGGGTTTTTGGAACCAGAAAGTGTCAACAGAAACTTAGTCAGACGCAATGGGTTTTATATTATGCTTCTCTTGAGATTCACTGGGAGGTTTTTTTTCAAAAGCAGTATCCTGCAGAAATTTGTGCACATGTGCAAAGATTTATTTTTAAAAAGCCTCTTCCAAATTTTAAATGTAGTAATTGGTGTTATAGTCAAGGCTTTAAATACCTAAATCGGTTTAAATAAAACCGTTAAATTAATAGTTTGAGCTTCTTAAAATAGAACATAAAATGTGGTTCTGGTGATAAAAGGTTATATACATCTTGACAAAACTATTTTATTTACACACTGTTTACCAAATGGTGTGACAGTGGTGCAGTGGTTAGCATTACTGTCTCACAACACTGGAGCCTTGGGTTTAATTCCTGGGGTTCTCTCTGTATGGAGTATGTACAGTATGGTATCCCCATATTCATGTGGTGCTCCAGTTACCTCTCACAGTCAAAAGACATACTGGTAGGTTAACTGACATCCAGGAAAATTGAACTGTCATCCCATCCAGAGTGAATCCTGCCTTGCGCCTGTTGCTTGCCAAGATAGGCTCTGGCTAACCTGTAACCTTGTTTTGGATAATGTAGGTAGAAAATTGATGAATGGATAAGTGGACAGTTTACCAAATGGCAACAAACTTTAATTACAGCTGTAAATACTGTAAATGTCTGCTCAAACCTTAAAAAATAAAATCAAAAGATTAAAAAGAAGAAATATTACAAAAACATAGAAAGCTGTTATATACATAATAGGAATTATATACTGTAGGCCTACTGTGAAATATTTTATTAATTCAAAGTAAATTTATTCTACAGGTAATTCCAGCCTAGAATATGTACCATAGTAGAATCGAAAACAAAGAAAACCACTTATTACAACATGATATTAATTACCATTTTTAATATAATGAAACCTGTAGATTAAGGAACATCTGATTGTTGTTAGCCTTTGACTAAGGGTAGTTGGTCAGTGACTGTAAATAGGATAGCTATTCTGCTATTAGAATGATCCATTTCATTCTTGCACTAGCTCCATCCTGTTTCAGCGTAACTACATCACAGAATTTGAGCAATTCAAAAATTATGCATCATTTCTGCTACACTGCTTTACTGTCTGCCTGCCAGTTGGTTGCAATTATTAATGTTTTTTCTATTCTTAACGGAATATTACTTGCTTCAGCGTAAGCTGTTTGACCAACAATTTACATTACTGTTACTGCCTCATCTTGTGTTCATCATTAAGTCCAAGACTTTAAGCCTAAAGATTCCATAAGGGCAGTTCATCAGAACATACTGCACTTTCTGCTGTTTTCAAGAATGTTGGTCTGCAGCCCAGTCTTTATAAGAAAGGAAGTGAGGTCATTTTAAGTTTTAATTGTGCCCCTGAGCTTATTTCTTTTTCCTCTCCTTGCTATAGTAAAGCCATACTTGATGCTGAATAGCACAAGTATTTGAAAATGGTATGAATGTAGTGGAAACTATAGTATTATATTTATATTTATAGGATTTAATGCAGTTATTTTAATGGTTAACAGTGTTCAGTGTGTTTGCTGAAATGAATGTGCTCTGAAACATTTGGTACTTGATTTAATCTGCTTATGTTAAAATATAAAAACTCATTTTCAAAGAGGCCTTTTATTCAGAATGTAATACTACAAAATAAAGGTTTGGGTTTACAACTTTCAGATTGATTACAGTGTCTGTATTTGCATTAGCTGCCTAATTATTGGATTAAACTCAAACACTGCAATAATATACATTTATTTACTATTTTTTTCACCTAAGAATAACAGAGCATCGTAAAATGGAAAAACAAGACAATATTTTGCAATACAGGATTTGGAAGTTTTGTGAATAAAAATATAAAGCTACCAAAGTGATAGGAAACAGCTATAAATGTTAATTCTCTGTTGTGTTATTACAATATCCCTCCACCTACCCTTTTTTCTATTAAAACAGACTTTCTGTAGAAATAATATACTCTTGTATGACATCATCCCTTCATTAGCTGACTAAATAAACATAACAGTACTGGACGTTCCTTTAATTAAAGGCCAGTAATTAGAACAATTTATCTGAATTCTGTAAGATTCTGTAAAATGAGGTTGAAGCTAATTTGTCTACTGTAAAAGCTAATTTTTTATTGAAACCATTTAAAACACAAATAGAATCAACATAAGCCTTCAAAGAGGATTTGTTTATTGCTATTGTTAATTCTTATTCGTATTGATACACTTTCAAAATAACATGGAATACTTCATCCAGACTTTAAAACACTATTGCAAATATTGTTTGGTATTCTGGACTTAAATCTTATTGTTAATTATATTTTTTTCTAAATCAAGGCATTTCTTGTTGTTTTTTTTGTAGGTTTCAAATTACAATTCACCTAATTAGGTATTCCAACATAGATGCTAAAAGACAGCTTTATTATGAAAGAGAGACAAAGATAGGACAAAGATAGCTGTGCTATTTTCTTCAACTGAAAACATTTGAACACCTAAATTCAGGCTTCAAGGAAGACCTTAACATTAAAATGCTTCTTCCGTTTCACAGTGATCTTGGGTCACAATCAGTTGATGACAATCTGGAATTCAATGCAATTAGTCACTACTGATTAAAGAAGAGATTGTTTTCACTTTCAGGCTTTGTGAATGATTCAGATGGTGTGTGTTCATCAGATATTCACCAAGAAATTTCCAACTTAAAATGGATGTGTGCTTTATAAGGATAATATTTGAATTGCAGTGTTTCAATAACAGCATTCAATTTTTCCATTTTCAGAGGGAAATAAATGTATACCTTAGTATTATAATATATCAAGATTTAAGTGTTTTCAGTAGTTTCTGTATAAACTGTACTGTATATATGATGTATTGGCATACATCAGTTAAAAAATAAACTAAAATATAAACCAAGAAAGATAACATTTCTCATTCTCTGTATGGTGTGGTGTTTGCAGTTAGTGGGCTCTGAAATATGTGAAACAAAAATGATTAAATCCTTATTTTCTTAGTTTAGCTCCATATATGATCATCTTGAGGAGTATGCAACTGTCTAAATTCTGTTTTCATCAGATAATTAAAGGTTAGAGATGGCAATGTATTCACTGATATTCTTCCATGATCTTTTTCTAGGGTTACCAGATCTGATTCCTGACCCAAACTATGTCCAGGCTTCCACTTACATCCAGCGGGCCCACCTCTACTCCCTGCGCTGTGCGGCTGAGGAAAAGTGCCTTGCCAGGTAAAAACATAACATCTTTTTATCTCTGTTTAACTCCCAATTTCATAAAATTTCATAATACCTACATAATAATAAAAATAAATACATAAGAATTCAAATAGCACTTTCTTGCTGTAGCCCACAGATCGTTATTTCCTCTGCAGGAAATGATATTTTACTCTGATGAACCTAATAACTGGGTTCATTCTCTTGACACTGTGTGTGACATAATAAGAGATTAAGTTTAAGATTTCTTCATCTAACTGTCTATGCTGTGCTGTTTTACAGCTGTCATGGTGGTACAATGAACAAAGTTAGTTCCAACATATTTTCCATTTGCTAATAGGAAGACATTGATGTAGTCATGGCTGGTTTGGAAATTTTCCTCCTTATCAAAATATGTACTATTTTAGTAAAGTGAGACACAAGGGGCACCTTTACATTGCTCTGTATTTTCAATATTAATTTTCACCATTGGTAACCTTAGTTTCATTATGCCCCTGTAAAGAGTGCTTTCATAGCAGTAAAGTTCTTATTCTGCTTTGTCAACACAAGCTATTTAACAAGAGTGCTACAGTGTATCTTCTCTTTTGGTCAGTCAGGTATAGTGTCATTCATATTTGAAATGTTATTGTTGCAGCCAGCTGACCAGTGGATACAACTTAATACAGCTTTTTTCATAATTGTTATAAATAATAATCATGGACAGATGTATTTCATGGTAATCATGGACAGATGGCTTGATATAATTTATAATTCTATGCAAAGTCAACAACTGTTACAAGATAAATGAGTGTTGTTCTAGTCACTAGGTGCCCCTCTGGTGTGTGCTAATTGTTTTGTTTTATATTAGCAATAACAAGTGATATTATTCTTTCTTTTCCAGTACAATGTGTTTGCTGCTGTTGGCAACATTTCAAAATTCACTAAACAAGTTGGCCTCTGTACACATGAGGTTTTACTGTTGGTGTTAAATGCATCATTAATTGTAAAATAAAAGTCAGCCCTGTTAACAACATGCACTGTGAAACCATTAATTTTTTAACTCACATGTAAAAATGTATTATTTGTTTTCGTTTTTAGAATTTGACATTACATTTTAAAAATCGTAAACACACCACAATAATATCCCACAAATAAAGAGTGTGAATCACTGTGGCTGAGTCACTAAAAAAGTCTCAACACAGTTACAGCCCAAAAGGAAAAACATCAGTAAACAGTGTTATTTGAGAAAATTTACTTCAACAGCCATTCGGATTAAGCCGGATGGGAAGCTTTGCTCTGGTGAAATGTCCTAGACACAGCTTGGCAAACTGTGTTGTAAGCCTGTTGATCCAGCTTCAAACCTCTTTTACCAAGGATTTCTATGTCCAAAACTGTCTTTTGTAACATGGGTTTTGTTTCACTCTTGTTTTGTGCGAACAAATGCCTATAAGCAGGTGACTACAGAGTTATATTAAAGATCTCTGATAACAATAACACTGAACAAGAAATACCACTGTTTCCTATGTGCACCTGATGTGTAACTCATCAACTCATCATTTTATCACCTAAAACATTTCCATTGTCACCTTAATTGTCTTTCTAACAAACTAGAAAAGGTTTTTTAAAAGGCATTTTACAGAATCCTTTCATTCAACTCATTTTTGCCATACAGATGTTTATCTGTTCTCTCCCCTTGCAGCTCTGCCTATGGTTCTGACGCATCAGACTACGACATCAGGGTTCTTCTGCGATTCCCACAAAGGGTTAAAAACCAGGGAACGGCAGACTTCCTGCCCAACAGGCCACGCCACACTTGGGAGTGGCACAGCTGTCACCAGTGAGTATTGTTCAGTACATCAGCATTATTGCGCTTTTTTGGATGGTGAGCTCACACCTGAAGAAAGCTCCATGGCCGAAACGTTTTTTTTCAGCTTGGAATAAGCCTATTACTTGTTCCTTTACTTACTCAAAATCTCTATTTTAATAATGTAGTGCTTGAAAGTATTTGAAACAAACATCATTTGATTCTGAAATGACTACAATTTAGTATCTGTATGTTAAAAAGTCATTTTCACACTTTTTTATGCCATGTGTTGTAAAAGGAATTATAAGAAAACAAATTGGAGCATATTATTATTCCAGTTAAAACTCATTCAATTTCACTTCCCAGGCAGGTCACATTTAAATCAGTCTCAGATTACCACTGTCTTGACAATGGGACTTGTTACAAACATCTTAATTCTTCAAATTACTATGTGTAATGGGCTCTGTCTTCCTTACTATTTGCAAGCTGCGATCAAAAGAAAAGGAACATTAAGTACCACTTAACCTGAAAAGATTACTATTTTCTCCTAAAAATTATTTCAAGGCTGAGAAAATTAAGTAATTTTTTAAAGGGAAACTTGGTACGCAGTTTAATCTTGTTCTATTATGAGATTCTAGTCCAATTATGAAAGCCTAACACATTTTCTTTATTTTAGCATGTATATACTATTCAATCTAGTTGGAAACTTTAGAGAATGTTTATGAGTTTCCAGTTAAAAATCTTTGGACCTCATATATTGCATCAAACTTGTGTATTGTTAGGGATGTAATATCATTTGTGAACCTCACTCAATTCTTTATATTTGGACTGGACTTGCATCCCCAATGGCATCATTAGGTTTAGGATATAATGCCTTGGATTTCTAGTGCAGCTCAGAGGATTTTGCTTTCCTAATCACTGTGGTATGTTAACTGACCATTAACAGATTAGAAACATTTCAGAATGACGTCAATAGGAATTGCTTCATTTGGTCTCTTAGGAGTTTGCTAGCTTGCATGAGGACTGGAATTGATCAAGAGTGAAACTACATAAATTATCTACAGTGTTTCTTCCACATACTTTATTAAGTTTGTCTTTATATACATATGTTATATGCTTATAAAAGAGAGCTTCAATAAAAACCTTCTAGTAGCCTCACAGTAAATCTGACCACTGGCCATTTATAAGAATCTCATCTTTGCACATGTGTACATCACATTACATCACATTGAATTATGCCTGTACTCATAGATTTGTATCAGTGTATATTCAGTGTTTATACCAGTAGCAGTACTAAGTTTTGTTTTAAGACCATGAATGAATAAAACAAAAAAGATCAGCATAATACATTTTTAATTACCTAATGCTAACTCTTAGCATTACTTGAGAATAAAAGAGATTTGGATTAACTGACTAGTGAAGAATAACAGACATTCAATTGTGTCATCATTTTGTGAATACAGACTATCCTGATCTGCTAATTAACATAAGAAGTTAGCCAAAACTCAATGTATTTAGTGAAAGTAATAACTAAGTAGCTGCATTATATTACATAATAAGAGATATTATCAGGAAATGACACATTATGTTTAACAGAAATGTGGTGGAAATGGGGAACAGACATATGTTTCAGTAATCTAAGCAGAAAGCACACTCATGAGACTACTAAAGTAGATGCGTAATGCATGTATATCTAACACACTGTATAAGCAGGACTAAGTACAATGGACATTTGCCAATGTACATTTTCTACACCTTGTGACTAAAGGTAGAAAAGTCCTGAGAACCATGCTTCAATTTGTAATTTACAACCACCAAATCAGAAGAGCCATTTCTGATTTTCATTCAAATTTAGAATAACCTTTTAGTTATCTTTAGCCCCAGTTTTAATTTGAAAGTGGCAACTGTTATTCTATTCAGCTGATGGCTGTGTTCCTTGATACCAGCATGGGAGTGATAGAAAACATGCACACTTTCCTACAGAGCACATTCCATAAAAAACATCTGCAATTTTTCACACTGCACGTCTCAAGGTACCTACAGGGGCATTAACATTGATTGTCCAGCTTTCACTGACAACACCATAAATTGGTTTGTAATTTGATTAGGGTATAAATATTTAGACAATTTATGTTTTTATTCTTAAAATCATGATTAATACTACCTTGTTAATAAATACACAAAATATACTCCAATAAGTGACACAGAAGAGTGAATTAATAGAGATTTTATCTTATTATTAATCTGACATTCCTTACATCTTACTGGATGACAGAATAAACTTAAGTATTTGTGTAAATAAATCATGTTTATGGTTTAATTTAGCGTTGCAATGCACTGTACGTGAATGTCTGGAATCGAAAGGTATTTGATTATTTCTAAGATAAGTACTTTTCACCACATTTTCTCATCTTTTAGATGAAAATGTATTTTAAGCACAATTTAAGGATTTTTTGCCCGGGAAAAAAACAGATCTTCAGAACAAATGCCTCTACTTTGTAATGTTGGTTATTCAATTACAATCCAATGTTTTGTACACCAACTACTTAATGGCATTTGACCTAAGAAGTCAGAGGCCACCATTTGTGCAGGTGCTTTGTGGGGTTTTTTAGTTTCCTGATGACTGGGTGGCAGTTTATGGAGTGCAAATGTCAGGGCCATGCTAAATATTTTTTTTGTCAAGACCGCATTCTCTGATGTTACATTCCCAGTAAATATGCCATTAGCTAACTCTCGTGCTCAGAACAAATTTTAACTGGCAGAAATTAGTCATAAAAATTAGATCGAGGCATTGGAATGCTTTCTATGTCCGGCTAAGAAGCCATTTTTTAACTCTCATTCAGACTTCCAGTCTCGCCTACTGAAACGTGGGTGGTATCCAACCAAGGCTGAGCATAAAGCACTTCTGAATAGTACTCAAGACAGAACTAGTCATGCATCCAGTCTCTAAGCAAATGTTCTCTTCAAGAAAAAAATCTACAATTCCTTAGCCGTTTAAACCAGATCCGTACATTCTCTATGAATTGAGAATATGTACTTTTCTAAAATAAGTAAGATAATAGTGTTCAAAAACCCATAGGCTAAATTACCCTTCATGTTATATGTACTGGTCTATGAAACAGCTGCACAGTGGATTTTTGCTCCAGCAATTCAATTGGAGCCACCTGGGTATGAGAAAACCGATTTCCTGGAATTAGTGGACCAGTGCATTCCAGCCTTGAATGTACACGTTCAGATGAACATTTCTCTCTGTAAGATGCATACCTTGCATTGTACTTTATAGGACAAATAAAAATGTCAAGACATTCATAGTTTTTAATATAAACTTACCAAGCTAGTAGTTGATGCTATACTGGCCACCTGAGGACATTAAATTAGCCTCTTCTGTAATTGCTCTGTCTGTGCAATCCAGTTCACCTCAGCTTTACGCAGTGTGTTCACTCAGTCACTAAGGGAAAGCACAGACTCCAAAAGAACCTACTCAAGGTCAGTCAAATGTCCAGGTCAAATACATATTTTTGATTCAGACACTATGATACTGTTGTTCAATTTATTCCTTTTTTTACTCAGGACCTACCTGGTCCATAATATAAACTTGATATTAACAAACTCAACCTGGAGATTCCTGTTTCAGGGTACCTGGAAAAATGGGGCTCATTGGCATACTGTACATTCTGTATATTTGTTACTGTAGCTTTCTATATAATAATCTTCATTTACATATAATAAAGATGCAATATAATAATAAAGATACATACAATCTGAAATTGTTTAAATACAAGAAGAAAAATTGAAAAAATACAAAATTATATATATAATATATTATTATTATATACCCACCTGAACTACAAAATTATATTATCTAATTCCTAGCATGATTAAATTCCTGTCATTTATAATAATTTAACAACAAACAGAAGAAAACATTTTTGTAGTAAATGTTGCAACATAAATGTTATCTGGAACAAGTCATTTTAGCTGTCCATGTTTTAGTTCTTTAATGTTACTGATGCCTTTCAATAAATCTTTTCTGGACATTTTACTAATTATTCTTATTAAATAAAATGTCTGCCAACCAAATGGCCATGAATGGCTGTGTGCTTTAGATTATTGCTCTACAACATTTAAATGTTCCATGGGCAATTTATTCTGCCTCTATTGTACAAAATTGAATTAAGTTTAAATATTTTTTTCCACAGAAAATCTGGATTATAGTAACAAAAAATACAGTCATCACAGACGCTATTAACAATTACAGAAACCAATTACAGAACAAACGGTTGCTTTGTGTCATATAAGGGCAGAAGGAATGGTTTTTGTTTAGATGGTGTCACACTTGGCTTGGCAGGTAAAAAGATCACATAACATCTTTTTATTTTAAACCAGTTAAAGAAGAAAAAAGAACGAAAATCAACTTATATAAGTACTAAAAACCTATTTCAAACGAACTGTGTTCTATTCTGCAGTCCTTGTTCAATCTATTACTAACACTTCACAATGTTCCAAGGCTTTGGAAAATATTATGTATTGTACCAGTCCCTAAAAAAATTCTTCCCCACACCTCTGAAGACTTAATTCGGGAAAAGATAGAACAGGCCTGGACATACTCCCTTACATCCTTAGTAATTGTTGGCCACCAGAAGTCTCTGGAGATAAAATCCAATCTACGGCGGACTCCAGGGTGTGCGGTAAAATGGGAGTCATGTCCCCATTGAAGAACCAAAGATCTAACCGGGGTTGAAACTAATAATTTATCCAGGGGCACTGAGGAGGTACCATCTGACCAACCAAGACGCTTCCAACTATTCCTTCAATGTCCCATCTTAAGGCTGCCAGGAACTTACCAGGTGGAATGATGGGCTCGGGAACCAGTTCAGTCTCAGGAGGGTCGTGGATGCGAGAAAGAGCATCAGCTTTGACGTTCTTGAAGCCTAGAGTGTAGTTGATAAGGAAGTGGAATATGGTGAAGAATAGGGACCATCTAGCTTGGTGGGGACATAGACGTTTGGCAGATTGCAAATACGCCAGGTTTT